CTAAATTTAACAAAAACAATCACCACTGTATCGATATTTTGCCTTTAAATGCCCCCAAATGAAGAGATTTGAAACATCACATCATTGTGGCCCATTAGTTAAAGCATTAATAGAAATAGCTAAAGGTGGCATTAAAAATCAATAAATTGGTTTTATTTCCAAATTCTTCAGACATTTTTTCCAAATACAAGTTTTTTTTTCATGAAACTTAACCTAATCACGTAGAGCTAATGAGTCCATGACAGATCATTAAATTACATTGTGTAAATTTACATTTTTTAACATGTTATTTTTAATCAAAATAAACGTGTTACATTTGCCAGCAGATCTGACCCTGAAACAGAGGCTTGGAGAGTGATGATATCCTCTCATTTAAACCCTCTTGGCTGAATCCCCCATAATGCAACACCAATAGCAAGTTCACGTTAGCCCCATCCACTTTCTTTTTTAAAAACTTTAATCTGAACCACAATCCATCCAAATAACCCCTTTTAAAACTTTGGACCAATTAATTATGGGGCAGTACTCCTTGTAAAACGTCTGTGGTAGAAACAGTGGGTGTTCCTTTAAAATTCACTCTTATCTAATTTAGGGAACTGCCCACTTGTTACTGTATTCTATAATTAGAAATACTGTCTATTTTCTATGTAAAGCTGTGTGGTGTGAATTGTGTTTATTTGTTTAATTTTGAAAAAAGACCAGTTGTTTCTTAATGGGGATAATTAAAGGCTAATGAACTAAATTAACTAACATAATAACAAGGGTTAAAGAAAAAAAAAAAGTGCCAGTGTTAACCTCCTGGCAGTGCGGAGGTGCCCTTGGGGCAAGGCAACCTAACCCGAAACCTGTCATGAGGCGCTGGTAACACGGCAGCCCCATCACTCCACCGAATCTCTCCCCTTTGCATGAAGTGTGCATTTCAGCCTGTGTGTGTATAAAAAAAAAAGGAGTTGAAAAAAACAATTTCCCCCTAGGGATCAATAAAGTATTATTTTCTTCTTCTTCTTCGAGGAAACTTAATTTCACACCAATCAAAATTCAGTTTTTCAAGGCTCCTGGGGAGTACTGCTTTATGTGACAAACAGTTGTTGAAGCCTTTTTGTTGGGCTCCAGATGGGAGCTGGTGTGAAGTCTGATGAACTGCCTCAAGTGATGTAACCACATGGCAACATTTAGTTGGGGCTTAAGCATTGATGTATAATAGAGGTTTAAACATCTTAATGGGGCAGAAGAATCAGTTTATGACAGAAAAATAAAAAATGAAAAAATAAAAACAACGGACAGTATTTCAGGGAGGTTGCAATTCTAAATCGGTGATGAGAGCAATGTCCAGTCCTGATCCTTGTGCTCTTATGTAGGCCTGTGAATATAAAGACCCAAAGCATGGAAGAAGGGGCAATATACACTGATCCGCCATAACATTGTGAGCACTGATGGTGAAGATATAGCCAAAAGCTCATTTGCATCTGTAGTCCCTGCAGAGGCCATCAGTGATGCACAGGCTGGTGAAGTAAAAGATAACAGTCTGTTAATTAGTAGTAGTGAATGAAAACATTACATTTGACACCTAAGAAAAACCACAGTTATCAGTCAATACAACTGCAACTATTCCTCGTTAAATCCAGTACACCAGCTGAAGTTTTTGGCCCTTGTTTCTTTCTGTTTTTTGAGAATCTGATCTGTGCTTTCTTGTTAAGAGAGAGGTCACAGAGAGGATGATGAGCAGCTGCTCCTGCTGCTACTGACCAGACTGACGAAGGCCTGCTGAGCTCTGCACACTGTGAGAAGCACAGATGACTCCGCAAGACTGACAGTCTGCAGTGTATGCCTTCTAATCTGAACTGTGCTGGAGCCCAGAGACAACACAAAAGTTGGCATTTCAAAGATGTTTCCCATGAGTACTGTGGTTCTTCAGTGTGAGAATGAGCTAAAAATATAAACCGTTTGAGCCTCTGTGCAAACAGTGTTTACAACCCCACAGTAAATGAGGCCAGATAGGCCGACATCTCTGTTACCTCAGTAGCATGCCTTCATGCTCAGCACCAGAGGCTAAGCTGCACTTCAACATGACTCTGAAAACTGACAAATCAGGCCAAGACTCTCTGCTAAAGTGCCCCAAATACTGTTGAACAAGCAGCTGGTGATACAGTAGGTAATTACCACCTTGGCACGGTCTTCTACTTAAAGGTGATCAAGGGGTGAGGGGGACATTCGCTATTGCAATTACACAAGATTAAATCTCCCCTTGCTCTACAGGCTTAAAGGCACAAAAATAACAAATGAAGTTTGATGAACTGCTTTGAAATGATTGTGAATAAACCCTGCTACACATCTCAAAGCTTCAAAAAGTGCTCTGTGTCCTTAAATCACCAAGTGGTGCGTGCCAACAGCTGACAAGAGTCTTATTGAATATCAGCGGCATATTGGAAGTCAGAATACTTGGCTACAGTCTGGTAAACACTGCTTATGACGTGCATGTGGATGGTGATAGGCTGTCTCCAGAGTTTGTGGCAATAACAAGATGTTAATCCCTGCTCTCAAGTTAACGCATTGTAAGTCTTTGGAATGAAAGTTCCCACTTCCTCCAAAGCCTATAGTAAGATAATAATTCAGTTCACCACATTTCAGAAGAGACAGTTTTACTACGTACACAGCACACACACTGCTAAGAAACACGATGAAATAAGTAAAGATAGACTTGAATGCGAGAAAATAATATTTTCTGGTACTTTTTCTGGTACAGTAGATCATGACCATTTTATTTTGAGGTCACAATCCCGGTTCAGGTTCTCCTGCACAGTTGAATGGTTTAGAGTGTATAGCTGCCAATGGATTGAGACCACGGGATGCTCTTGGCTCTAGCCAGCCGTCTGGAGGGAATGGGCAGGGTTTGAACAGTCAAGCTCTCTTTTTAATTCCTGATACAAACCTTTGTTGAGTGCAACAGAATGCCTTCCAGGAGAGACTGTATGTAAATGAGCCTCTGTAAGCGTCTCCTCTCTCCCTGTGATGGCCAGCATTTTACCTCACCTTCCAGTATAGGAACAACTATTATATAACTATATATATATAACAGTTTGGATTTCTGATTGTAGCTGGACAACACATCAAACAAACTTGTTCTAATAAATCAGCACAACACAATCTCCCTGTGAAACTCAAACTCAGCACTCTGGACTTCCTCACAAACAGACCCCAGACAGTTCAGAGTGGGGGTCACACCTCCTCCACTCTAGTGCTCAACACTGGAGCCCCTCCTCAACTGCATTCAATTCTATGAAATCTACTATAAAGATAATTAATGGCTGTGGCTGCAAGCCTTCTTGGGATTGAAGTATGTTACATGTATTCAGACACACATATTGAATATACATTCAGACTCACTCAATAATAACTAATAATCTAAATCACTGAGATGAACAGAGGCCATACCATATATAATATATATATGGTATGCATCATCTGACTACAGTATTGTGTCAATCAGTTATATAAACATGACATATTCTATATAGAATCTTATATAAGTTATCTGGGGCAGAAGCCAGAATGGCTTTCTCTGGCTGCTGGACTAGAACTGATCCGACAGGATTTGATAGGAGATAATAAGACGACACATTTCCTTACAGCTTTGCCTAAGCCAGGAAATCACATGGACCCGAGCATCATAAATGATCACTGAAGACAAAATAAATGAAAAATAAGTGGGCAAAGAGACATTTTAATGTTCCTTTGTTTCTCTGAACGTCACTGAACATGCACAGCCTTTGCATGTGTAAAGATGGCTAAAGCATACAGACAGATTAAAATGAAGACACGATTATTTTCCTTTTATGAGATCATTTCATATCCTTGTACAGCATGGTATCAGATCACACGCAGCTGCACCACTCTAAACTGAAAAATGCACGGGCCTAAAAGGAGCTTTTGGCATTTTGCAGGAGTATCCATGTCACAAGAGATTAAGAGCCACAGCATTGTATCTTTCATTCAGCCTTGAATACCTTTGGAGCATATGTGGCTTCAGAGGGCAACATTGTAAGGTCTAAGCTCTCAGTAAACAGACTTCATTTGTTTTTCAGTGGCAACTTCCGCTTCAAGCTGCTAGGAGTAGAATTTGCCCCTAAACAGATAGCCCTTAAGGATTAGTCTTCATAATCTGCCGTTCACTGATCCTCGAAATCATACTGTCTGGGTGCTCTGAAATCAGCTTACAGTAGTACAGACAGTAGATGGAGTGTGAGTGGTTTTATGATTGGGATTGCGTGCCGTGCGGGCTTTATGTACAGTAGCACCAGATGAGAAAAAGACAATTGTTTAGGGAGAGTGATATGTTACCTACTGTTGTAGCAACACAGTATGTGCTGTTCTCGTGTACACACTGGCATGCAATCGTACAATCTGTTAATCTGTAAAATGCTAGGCCTTTTCTCCTGCTGCACATAAACCAAATGCCTGCTGTGTGAACTGAGCATCTCTGGCAACCTCTGTGACTTCAATGTGAAAATCCAAAGTGGGAGACACTAGTACAATGGCCTAAAAGTGCCTTGTGATTGGAGCATACATGCTGCTGTGAGGACAGAAAACACAGACAGAATCCTGCTGACAGACCTTTATATGGATAGCATTAGGAATCCAGACAGGATCTATGTCAAACAACTGTCCCTTTTATACAGTCTTACAGTATATTAACGTTTGATTACAAAGACACTTGGGCTGTCGTCAGGTGCAAAATACCAGATGGTGAACGAGATGCTATAAGAGCTATAGAGTGCCCTATAAAGTTAAAAATAAATCTAAATGTTCGTCATTGAAAACCGTGTCAATCTCAGTTGAGTTGATGCGATTGACTTCCATTCCTCAGAACATTAATACTCATTATTCAGAGGGAATTTTCTTGGAAAACACTGGCATAATCCATGTAGGATTTTAACTTTCATTGAAGTCATTGTCAAATAAACTGTGATTAACATTAACACTAACATTATCAGTGTGAAGACCCATTAGCCCCGTGAACATCCCTTAGCCACCATTAGAGGTACCATTATAATTTATTCATCAGAAAATTCTAGGCATGTCATCTGTAGCTATAGACAAAGCAAACAAATATAAGCGTTCTATTAAACAGCACCTTCAACCAAGTGCGATGCAGTACATACACATTTTAGGACAAACAAAAAGAAAACAAAAAATAATTAAATTATTAGTCTAATTATTCTGCATATCAGGTAATATCAAATATAAAAGAGAAAGAGAATGTGATATTGCTTACATGAGAACAGTTTGGTTCTGGAGTACTGGAGCAGTTTCTCATAAATAACAAGTTAATGAAAATGAATACAAATGTCACTTGTTTTCTTACTAGGAATGTGCTGTTTTCCCCTTTTTCTGTTCTTTTTGCAGCATGGAAATGTCACACATGACTCCAGAAAGGGCACAGTAAAATCAAGCACGCACATACAGTAGACTATTTTGGCTCCTTTACAAAAACAGGGGAAATGTTAATGGATCCCTAGACGGTTCACTCCGTCGGTCATTGTGGTGGAACGGAGGCGTCTACGCAGAGCTGGAAACAGCCAGTTTCTTCAAGTGGTCCATGAAGACCTGCAGGCTCACGTCATCAGTGAGGATCGGGGCTCCTGTCTCCTGCAGATGCGCCGGAAGCAAGGGGAGACAAAAAGTGGTTGAGTGATTTACACTAATGATCACTTTAATGAAGCAAAGATTATTTTATGCAAGACCTTGATCTTTTGATAATCTCATTTGGAGAGCGTCATAGATGTATTCACAGGGTTTGCATACTGCAGGTTATGGTTCAACTCTTCCTTGACTTTGGAAATAAAGAGATTTAAGCTATTTTCAGCTTTCAATCGTCCTCTTTTGAATCAGAGGTTAGCTAATCCAGGACCTATGTTTGCTGACAGTTGGACTTTAAATCTTCTAAGTTGTCAGCACAGATTGTGTTTTTTTAACCCGGAATAGAGACAATCCTGGGGTTTAAAGTCTTGATTTTGAAGTAAGAAGGAAATGAGAAATTTCTGAAACTTTCATAAATTGCTTTATACTGTTGTTATGAAAGTTCAGCTCAAGCAAGGGAAAATCCACACAATTTGGCATCCTTAGATGGCCCGCTCAAAAAACAAAACATCAACCATAAAGATTTTAGTAAGATGCCCTTTTCCACAATGTCGATCCCCATAGTCTCCACTTTGGGTGACGAATATGACCTCTATAAGCAATCTGTTTTCAAGTATAGACAGTTGAAAAATAGCAATCTGTAGCTTATAACACCGTACCTGTCCCCAGGCGTAGAGGTTATTGTGGGTCTGTGATGGGTTGACCTTTGAGAGCAGGAAGCGAGCCTGTGAGCCTCCGTGCTCCGTGTCAATGTAGCGCGGCATGGGGAATCGCGTCTGCAGGATTTCCTGGGCGTCATCCAGGGGAGCCTGCAGCAGCTGTTTGAAGTTCTCATACTCTGCCATTTCCTGGTAGCCTGCCTTTCGCCACTGGGCTATGGTCTGGAAATGAAGAGGGAAATGACAGCTTTAAAAAAAAAAAAAAAAAAAAAGGCCTAGAAATTTTTGGAGATTATAATGGGCGTAAATCGAATGTCCTGGTGGGAATCTAAAGATATAGATGCATTCATAGTCTGTGTCTCACCTCTCCATGGTAGATAACCAGCTGGAAGAAAGTGTCCATGAGAAGGATTCGATCTGGCAGGATACTGCTGCTGTCCAGGAGAACGGGCTGTGAAGAACAGATACAGTTTGGAACAAGCGCCAAAAACATCATCACTGACAAACATTTCTTATAAAGACACTCTGAAGCTTCTAGCAAAGGCTAGAGGCTCCTCTAACATTGATGGTAACAGTGTGGAGGGGTGAGAGGCTGACCTCTGGTGGTCCATAGAAGGAGTATGAGTAGAGGATGGGCTGGACCATGATCAGGGACTGGGTCAGGTCCTGCCTGACAAAGTGGTGCCTGTAATAGGATGACTCATCGGGGCTGTTGTTGAACACCTGAAGGAAGGGTGACCGCCGCAGGTGGAACATAAACTGCAGGTGGATGAGAGGGGAAGAAAAAGAAGTTATTAAAATGAATATTCAGTGTCATGTAATCTAAGTGGTTTTTGAAAAGCATATAATCATATTGCAAATCAATTCAAATTGGGAAGAGGGGAAAAACTGGAAATTACAATTTAGTCATTTCTTTATTGACATTCATGTATTTGCACTAGGAGGCAGGTTTACCTGTGGGTAGAGGGACAGAGACTCTGACAGTTTGAAGGATGTAGGATCATCTTTATTGAACTGGCCAAACTTCTGACACTGAAACCCAGAGAGACAAAACATTGTTTAAACACTGAACATGTCATGGGATAATCCTTATGTAACCTGGCACATCACACTGGATTTGTACAATACATGCACAATGTGCCGTTTTACTCCTTTTCATAGCACACAACCATAACAATGCTAACTATGCATTGTTCTCCTCATCACAAAGCGCAGTTACGGTGTGGGTGCGTCACTCACCAAGCGGATGAGCTGCCTGTCAAGCCAACGCAGCACATCTGGTCCCTCCTCCGACTCAGCTCTGAAGACACCCAGACGGGCCATGAGCACCGCAGCCGCTTCCTGGTCGAATGACGACTCGATGTGCTGAATCTGGGACTGTGCATCTGCCCAGCTTTGGTAACAAAAAAAGAGAGGGAGGGAGGAAAGAAAGTAGGACACGTACAGGTGAGTGTGGGTGTGGTGTGAGTGACGCACACAGGTCTCTGAAGGCGTTGCCAGAAATTGCAGGAATGTAAACACTGGCTGACGCCAATATTGATTCTACTAATCACTTTCTTTAAAATTGCCTTGTAGGTACAAAACGTGAATATCCACTTTCACTCTTTTCTGCAAAATAACCTTACATGTTATACTACTACCACTACAGGTTGATATGGACAGTAGTTTTATATTCTGGTGTGAAGTCTTGTCTGGCATAAATCACAGTGTCAGCACCAATAATTAATCCAGAGTCTTACTTCCTGGCGATAGTAGAGACACGTATCCTCCTCTGAGTGCTGGAGTGCTGGTACTGGGTTACAAACTGGATCACACCTCGGCCACCCTGGGGCACTGGGGCATTGTGCTACACACACAAACACACAAGACAGCAAGACGACAATCATCAATCACTTCTCTCATTGCATCAGAGGAACAAATGGCCTTCTACTACAGTGAACCCCCCCACAAAAAGCCATTGTCTACACTAAACAATGGCTTCATCAGAATTATTCACTGGTGTAATTAGACTGTACTTTCATCAGCCTACAGTAATCCCATCAGAGCTCACAAGTTAAAGTTCCGGTAAATGCTTTTTTTTTTTTACCTGATTCACTACTTCAAAGTACATGCCCAAAGTGGTGGACGGGTTGAGACTGCACACTTTCCACTGGCTCGTACCACCAACACCCATCTCCTACACAGAACAAGAGAGCACATTGTGATGAATGGCAGTAAGTGACGGCTCTCAGATTACAGTTCGGTTGTGAGAAGGAAGGAATCTAAGACGGGGGCAGGGACTCACATTTTCCGAAACACAGGATCCCTTGGAGTTGAGTGAAACACACGGTCCGATGGCCCCACAGACCTTCAGCTCCCTTGATGTCTGTACAGACACAAAGACACACAACATAAATACAACATGCACCACCAATGTCAGGTTTAGCAAGTATACATCTGTTTTGTGCTCAGAATTTAAGTAATTGATACCTCATCAGCACAAAGACACAGCAAACAATGACATTCATTATAACTTCAGTGACTACATCACTTATTTACCTTGACCTCCATGATGCCGCCAAAGGCCATGCGGAAGTCTCCATTGTAGTCTTTGCTAAAGACTCTCTGGAAGGTCTGCTTGAACAGGGAGGTATTGAAGGAGTCTCCCATCACAATGTGACCCCTGTTCATACATAGAAAACAAAGGGTTTACAATCTAAATCACTCCTTAAAGGGGTATTTATTTGTAAAGAATCAAACATCCATAATAGTTAGGCTAATACAATCTCACACCCTCAAACAATTGAACAGCAAGTGCTGACGTACCCGGTGAGATTAGATAAACACTTCATCTCCAGCAGTCCAGTCTGGTCCAGGGCACAGGCGTAGATATCAATACTGTGGCCATTTACTGCTGAGCGGTTAGCCATGGCTTCATAATACTGTGTGATACCAAAAACAGGTCAGTAAACAGTATTTGAAATTAATGTTTATTTGTGGGGAAAAAGTCATTTATATCAACAAAAGACATTTTTTTAAGAAGCAGCTTTCACTCAAACACAAGATCTGCTGCTAAATGCTAAGATCTGAGGCTTCATGCGATTTCTCACCTTTGTGGCTTTCTTCAAATGGCGAGCGTTGTCTTTCTGGATGTCGTGCCAGGAGCGGATGGGGGTTTTCAGCTCGTCTCCCACCACCATGCCCGGGCCCTGGGTGGGGGGCCCTCCGATAAACAGCATCACACGAGCCCCTGTGTTGGGGAATGTACCCTGAGGATAGAGAGAGGAGGGACTGAGTTTCAATTAAAGTCTCCACAAGAAACATTTGTTTTGTGCGGATTCTGGCGGCGTCTGTGGATAAAAGTAGTAATGTTTGTACTGTCTCGTCACCATTTCAAGCAGAATCCAACTGAATCTGACCTGGTGGCAGGGATAAGTGTAAGAATAACTACATAGCCAGTCTTCTCTCTGATGGTTATATAGACGCATCAGTATTAAATTGATACTCAAGTGACAATTTTACACCACAGTTATTTGACTATAGCACACTGTAGTTATAACAGGTTTTTTGTATTGAAATATATGTTATGCTCCAATTTCTATCATATTGATTCAGTACTGCTCATAAAAGGACAACAAGTGTGATGAATGCCTGTTTTTGGGCTGTGAATGTGGACAATGAGCAACGGACTCCTGACCTAGTTCTCAAGTTTGCCATTTAAAAAAGGAGTGTTAGGGGAAAGTTAAGACTGCCTTATCAAAAGAATTCAGATCACCTGTGGAAATGCACCCTCACTAATCCATAATAGAACATTTCAAAGACAAGTAAAATGTGATTTAATACCTCTGAGTATGGGTAGGTTTCAAATCACACACATGCCGGTTTTCACATCATATGACAATGGCAGAAATCCAGGTTTATTGAATGTTGAAAGTACAACATGTCCTAATGAGCTTTTAGAGAATCCGTTTCAGCAAAGGGCAGATCTCACAGCCAACACTTAAAACAAAGTCCACATCCAGGAGTCTGGGAAAGTCCAAGGTACAGTTATTTGGCAGCCACTGGAAGGAGCTTTTAATATAATGTGACCATTTGATAACAAGTTCTGTTCTACGTAGACGATGATTCATTTGTGAGAGCAAAGTGTACTCACAGAGAACAGTTAAATAAAAAAGCCTGCTAATAGCAAACCACTATTTGCGGTTCTGATTTATATGTAAAGGATCCGTTCATCACGTCAAATGCCTCTCGACAAATCAGTGAATCTGGAGTCACTGAAAGAGCCAAAATTATTCTAATCAGGCCTCATCTACTATCTGCTGAAGAGTACAGCAGGGCAACGATCTGTTGTATCAGTTATATAACCACGCAGATTAGCAGTGGGAGAAGAGAGGATAATGATGGTGGAGAGAAAAGACAGAAGGCAAACAAGGAACCAGCCTTTGAACTCAGAAAGTGTTCCTGCTGAAGATAAGTCATCAGGCAGTGTGTGTGCATTTCTGAACAGCTACATGTGGCACAATCATCCCAAAGAGGCTAAAGTACAGATTACTGTGAAGCATGTGTGTGTGTCTGTTTGAGTCAGACAATAATATTAATAACCAATACAATTTTATAGCCATACATGTTTTAGATTTAACTTGTTAAACAACACATGTAAATTACAGTATATTCATAGGCCGGCATTATGCGTATCCACTTAAAGGACCAGTGTGTAGCATTTAGTGGCATATAGCGGCAAAGTTGCAGATTGTAACCAACTAAATACTAGTATTAATATTATATAAATGTTAGACAGTGGACCTTTAATGTACAATATGATTTGTGTTTCTGCATGTGTGTGTATTGTACCTCCAGCAGACCAACAGCAACAGAGAGTGCAACACCAGTGGAGCGGAGGGGCCGTTTGCCCTGAGGGACAGGCCATGGGTCTCTCTGAAGCTCACCGAGCAAGTCAGTCAGATTCATATCCACTCTGTGCACGGGCTGAAGGAACCTGAATATGAACACAAACACTCCTTAGGCAAGAAATGCAAAACGCTGTACAGCGAGGAAACGGCAACCATTAACAAAGACAAGTGAAAAGTGTTTAAGCTCCACCATACCTGCAAGAGGCGGCAGCCTCCTGAGGGGCTGGTGGACGCCCTTGTTGTCCTGATGCTGCTGGCTTTGTTAAACCCAGCATTTCCTAAAACACACAAAAGAAGAAAAAAAAAAAACCTTGAGACACCATTCTTGGCTTGTAAAAACATTCATTTTTCCTTTAAGATATTTTAATATACTCCAATGTTTACATACTAATCTATTTATTTGTCTCATTTCTAAGTTTCCCGTGCCTTTGCCCCCACCAACCTGGATCTGTTTGGCGGAGAGGTCCTTGGTGCCCCTGAAGACGTAGCTCTTGGCGATACCCTCACAGCTGAGCTCGTGAACCTGAACCATGCGACCGAATGTGATGAGGCCCACCAGGGCGTTGGGTGGCAACAGGCTTAGGGACATCTGCAGGGACTCCTTGAGGGCCTGGAGGTCTTCCTCTTCCAAACATGTGTCCACCACATACAGGAAGATCAGAGGGGTCGGGGGTCCACGCTGTAAAGAGGTGAGAGAGAGAGCAAGGTTTATGTATATATTTGACTTTGTTTAATGTTTGCCTTGCTGAACATGTTTTTAAGATGCACTAGCTTACACTACCGGAGACACGGCTCATATTACTTTTGAAATCCATCTGAATTATTTATGAAGCTACACTCGTAAGCCACCATAGTAGTGAGGCCCTCATTGGTAGCAAAGCCAGGGGTGTTTCTGTATACTTTCATCTCCAAATATTTATTATAGCCTACTATATGTCTTAACATATCAAAACACTATATGATTATGGCAAACCTCTTTCACTAATGTACCACATTAGGTTTGCCTAAATATGGAACCTTTTTTTTATAAATGTGTGCTTTGAACCATGGGAACTGATCCACAACCTAAGAATACTACATAGTTTAGATGTGTCCAAGTTGCAGGATGACACTGAACACACGGATTAGACCGGGAACTTCAAAATAAAAATAAGAACTCTTCACCTATAGAGGCCATTATCGGACACTGTTAATATTCACCTTCGTACAGTACATCTTTAGTACATACAATCTCCATGCATGGGGCTGAGGTCAGAGTGTAGTGTTTACCTGTACTATGTACTCAATGGTAGAAAACTGTGGCATGAGTTCAGCCGGCTGGTTCACTTCTGATATGCCTGCATAAGAGGGAGGGAACTGCAGAGACACAGAGAGACAAAGGCATCCAGATTAACCGGTCTGATAAAAGAATGTAGCTGGTCCATATGAAGTTATGCAGGCTTATATAAGTTATGGCAACTATTCATGTCAAACTAAATCATGCTGTGAACGTCACTACTTACTGGGTTCCTCTGGAAGCAGAAGTTGCACGCCCATATTTTTGCTCTGAAGTCAACTTGACTGTGAGAGAGGGATCAAAACAATGTAGGGTTTGCATTCAGTTGGCAGGAGTGTACCTGAGACTCATGTTTCACACCTGGTACTTAGAACTTCTATTTCTGAACACAGCACCAAATTCAAATCCCCTCAACCCCCTTTATTTTTTAACTAAAGGACGCTACAATGAAGAAATGCCAAGAACATTAGTTGGCACTGACACTAAAACACAATGTAACACATGTTACAGGCTAAATTAAAGCATAAAGGCTGAATACTAAATAACACTAAATGTTACAAAAGCATCTTTGGTGCTTTGCTGCTGAAAAAAAAAAAAAAAAATGTAAAAAAGGGTACACATCTGTAAGCAGGGGAACTGTTTTTCTATTTAACTCACCACAGTGGGTTGAGCACTGCCTTGCAGTTGGCCCGGCTGCACAGCACTGGTTCGTACTGGACTGGTGGCAGGTCAGGCCTCTCCTTGAGTGGTGTGAAGAGGCAGGAGACTGGGACAACTAGCCTGGTGGCTTCCAGACGGCTGGACGGCCACAGATTCCAGCTGAATCTCACCCCGTCCCTGTCCTCGTTCTGCTGGATGAACTCCTGGTAGGTGGCCATCGCTGAGCTTCAGCAGAGAGAGAGCCCAATAGATCAGAGTGAGGATGTAGGTCCAATAGAAGCACTGGATGTAGTGATACTGCTAGTCAAAACTCGTTACTGTTTCTCACTGGTGGCAGTGAACTGCTCTTTATACAGGTCCTCCTTCCTCTCTCATGCTGAAATAAGACGTAGATATTTGACAGTGTGACGCACAAACGTGTCATTGGGAAACCTGAGCAACCTGTTTTGACGAGGAAGAGTACAGTGGAACCCCAGTGGTATTTTTAAGCTACACCTTTGTTGGTGTGTCAGCGAAACGTGAATTACACCTTTAGAAAAGCATCACCAGTAGCAACGGTACACTCCCCCTTTGTCAACGCTATCAGAGGAACTTTATATTCCCTGAGCAATACAGCGGCATTCCAGCAGGATCCAATGCTGAAATTATGGATGTCCCATTGTCCAGGGGACAATAAAAATAGCACCTGGGACACAAAGATACAGTGTGTGGGACAATTCTGAGACAGTAGAGAAATGTATCATTACAAATGAAATTACTATATTTATGCGTCGTGAAATATATCTAATTTTTATTGTTAAAGCAACAAATTCAGCGATTCATTCCTGGATGGGAAAAGGCGAGCAATATTTTCTAAAGTATTATAATTTCTTCTGTATGCTGCTTACAGTCCATGGCTTTTCTGCCAACCTGCGCTGTGCAGGGCAGGGCACATTTTACAATTTCTCTTACTCTCTTTCTCACTGGATCTCTCGATCAGGGCGTTTCTAAAGCTTGTGTGTAGGTTCATAGCTTGTTTGACCTTCCCTCTCTCAGTCTCTTCCCTCTGGATTAGGGTGATCCTACAGCTTATATGTAAATAGTTAGTTTGAGCTTGTAAATATTGAAATAGTTTGTTGGATCTTCTTCCCCCCTTCGTAGAAAATGTTTTACTTCAAATATACAACGTCCCTGTAGTGAGTTTGTGATTATTTGACTAAAATGTTCCATGTGCATGTACATTTCTGTCGCCTTATACCAGGAAACAGGTTTGCATTTGCCCTGCAGTCTGCAGTGATGCATTTATTGATCAAACAGTTAGAAATGAACACGAAACAGCAACCCAACCAATGACTAAAAGAATTATGCAATCTGAAAGTGGCCAAAGATCTAGGGTGATTTCAAGACTGAGGAAAAAAGTTCATTTCAAGACCTGGCAGGGTCAAAAGGTACGTTTGAAAAGATGACAAGAACAAAAGTTACAATCTTTTGTTGTCAGCTGGGCGTGATTTCAGAATAGGATCTATATTTCTGTAGGAGAGACAACCGTGTACTAGGGAGGGCTGCAGCTACTGATTATTGTAGCTGTTAATCTACAAATGATTTCCTCAGTTGACTGAGTAAATAACTCGCTATGAAATATCAGACAGAGCCCGATGTAATATCATCAAATAACCTGTTTTGTCTGTCCCAAAATGCTGAATGTGTTTACAGAAAGAGAAGAAGTGAATCCTCTCAGTTTAAAAGACAGTTTTTAATCTGATAAATGACTTAAATGATCAATTTCCTATCAAAATAGTTGCTGATCTAACTTGTTGCAGGTTTCATTGACGTGGCCTGAGATAAGAAGCAATGAATTTCTCTGTAGCTAAAAACACCTCTGCCAAAGGAAGGCATCCACAATGTAACTTTATTTGTATCTAGGTCTGTATTTCAATAATCGATTGATTGTTGAACTACATTTTCAAACAAGAACCCAACAGTCCCTCATTACTTATTCTCCAATGTTAGACTATGGCTGCTTCTCTCTGTCATAGTAAAGTGAATATCTTTGGGTTTTGGACAGTTGGTCGGACAAAACAAACAACCTGAAGACAAAAGCTTGAGCAGGTTCATAATAAATTAAAGTAAATGTAAGTTGCCCAATATCCAGTGTTTTTCTTACGGAATGTGACCTCTGACCGGCCATATGAAGAGGATGTGGTGTTTTGGGGGGTTTCTGGTGTTAGCAAAGCCCCATTTTCCCCTTCTGCTTTCGATAAGAGAGTACAGGGACACCTTAACCGTTATTCAACCGTCTAAATGTCAGTGTTTGGAGCCATTTTCACAGTGACTACCTCACTGTCTGTATCATATGCTACAGGCCACGTCTCATCACTGATAAAGCCACCGGTGAAGGTTGGTATCCGTCCTGAACGTTTCTACTCAGAAACCATTCAAATGTCGCTTTCCCGGTGCCCACTCCCGCGAAATTCGGTTGAAGTGAATGAATTCAGCAGCAGACGATAATGTTAATCATCATTAAACGACTCTACGTCGCCCTGTCACTCAAACCTCTACGAGCTAACGCTACGTTGACTAGCTGGGCTGGCTTAGCTAACGGAATGTAGCATTCACCCACTTCCTGTCGCTTCATGAATGGAAGCAGAGACCGGCGGCCTACTTTCCAACACAATTAAATCGAGCGCTTACCTTTTATATGAGGTTGGCCTCGGGTCTAGACGAGAGCTAAAGAGTCTGTTGTGTTGAAAAGAAATTACAGCATTTGGAGATGAAAGCAGGCGGATGTACGAGGCAGGACGACGGTGAGGGGATCACTCCCTGTCAGCCGGCTCTGCGCTTTACTAGAATGACGTGTTACTCCAAGTTGAGGCGTCTCCTATTGGCTCTTCTTTCCATGACGTTGCCGGGTAGGATGTAACTATGGGAAATGGAGTTTACAGTATCGGCCATTGACAGTGAAGACATTGGCCCTAAGGCGACGTTGTTGTAGCAGTTGTTACCCTCTAGTGACAGTATTTTACGGTGTGATAACGTGTGATTGGACTGTGACTGCCTATGTCACCACTTTATCATCCACTGTGTAGAGAACTCATCTCAGCCTGTGACCTTTGACCACTCCTGGAAAGTGTAGTAATTGCATTTACTCAACAAAGTGGGCCTACAATCTTGAGGTACTTTAGTTGAATATTTCCAGTGTAACCTATATGATACAGTATGCTTCTACTTCACTAAAATTTCTATTTAAATATTGCACCCCTACATTTTACTTTACTAGGCCTACAGTTATTTGAAAGTTAGTACTTATAGAATTGAACTTTATTGCAGGACCAGTGTGTAGGATTTAGTGGCATCTAGCAGTGAAGTTGCAACACGTTCTCATTCCCAACGCGTCAAAAGTTGCAGATTACAACTAACTGAACACCTCTGGCGTATGTATTGGACAACCTGGGAATGGGAAATACAAGAGGGCTGTGAAGTGTGTCGGAGGAACTATGTTGGTATCTACAGCCAGTGTTTGGTTTGTCAAATACTGGACCTTTAAGCAACTTAAAACCGGGGTTAAATTCCTTGTAGTCTATGTGTATGCCAGTAAAGCTTCACTGCACTTAACTCTGCAGAATCTAAGTTTACATACAAAACTTACGATGCATCCAAACTAACTAAGTGGCCTATACTCACTGCTTTAGGACTATGTTTTATACAGTTCTATATACAGTCACACAAGGTCCACATTAGCACCTGTCCATGATGCTGGAGTAAAACTGTGGCCAACTGCTGCTCCTGGTCATACTGCGTTCAAGGCTGGGCTCACATGCTGGGACGTTTGGCATATGCCCGCCTCAAAGCAGTAGATATTGGCCTAAGTGTCTGTGAGTGTTATATAGACCTCTAGGTGTGATCTCAAGTCAGTGGCTTCAACTTAAAAAAGCTTTGAAATACATAACCTAGAAGTCTGTTGCTAGCTTTTTTTATGCCAGTAAAGTTATTCTGACATCACCTGTACGTATTGGTGGAACATACTCAAGCAGCCTACTGTAAACTACTACACATTTGAGCTGTGCCTATATGTAGACTACTTTACTTGCATATTTCCATTTTTATGCTATAGGGAAATATTGTACTGTTTTACTCCACTACATTTATCTGACACTTTTTGTTAGGTATTAGATACTATGCAGATTTTAAGTCAATACAAAATATAAACCAACTAATAACCCAGAAGTAAATAGTTGAAATTAGCCCCACCTTCATCAGCTATATATTAAAATACACATGAATCACTAATTATAATCCAGCAGGCTAATGTAATTTCTGAAATAAGCCACTCTAAATGAGTAGTTTGACTTGCTTATCTATTTTTGATGCTAATGCTTTTGTACTTTTACAAAACATCTTGAATGCAGCACTTGTAACCGAGCATGTAACACTGTAGTCTTGCTATTACACTGTAGCATTTCACACAACTTGTTTGGAGTGTGTCTGAACATTAAGTGGCGCTGTAACCAAGCTTTTTTTTTCCTTTGGTGAAGCATATAAACCCCTGGAGGGAGAAAGCTAAAGAAAGCTAGAGAGAGAGAGAGAGAGAGACAGAGGGAAGGGAAGGGAAGGGAAGGGAGGGGGGCTTTCTGCCTGCACAGCGGACTCTCTCTCTCTCTCTCTCTCGCAGAGTGCTGAACCCACAGGCGGCAGGTGTGTGCACCGACTGTCCGCCCAAGCTTTCCTCACTTTTAGCACGTTTGGGACCGGATCTGGATGCTGCAGCGAGCCGATAAGTCGCAGTGCAACCCGGCTGCCCCACAGTACATCCCTGGCTGTGAGGATGTTGCAGTGATAAGACAGCAGAGCATCTTCTCTCCTCTGTATTGCACTGAGCCGGCATCGTCAGCTGTTGCTCTAGCAGAGAGTGGAAGAGTCGGGAGCAACAGAAAAGGCCAAACTATGCGACTGACTTTCTACCGGTAACCGTTTTCCACCTCAAGTCGACCGGAGGAGCGGATGCGAGCAGAGGTTGCCAACGATCCTCTGACTATTTTCTGCGCTTTGTCGGTGCCGGAGGAGCTGTGCCAATGGAGAAAGCGACTCCGCCGCCCCAGCCCCAGCTCCAGCTGTCGATAGCGAAGACTGAAAGTCCCGCTGAGGACATCTCCGGTCTGACTGACGAGGAGCTGCTCAAGTGGACCAAGGAGGATCTGGTGCGGCGGCTGAGGCGGTCTGAGGCCGACAAGATGAGCGTGATTCTGGACCACGGGAATCTCATCCGGGAGGTCAATCGCAGCCTCCAGCTTCACTTGAACGAGATCAGGGGGCTGAAGGTGAGGGGGGCGCGCATCGGTGAAGGATGAGATCATAGGTTTGGAGCGCACCTGAGAGCGCGCATAGCAGGAGGGATGTTCCGCTGTTTAGAGAGCGCCTCTGCAAACACGGTGTGGGAATAGTATCATTGAAGTTCACTGTGGCATTGTGTAGGCCTGTATGACAATCTGATATGGATGGATGGATCCATGTGTGCACATAGGCTTTATGGGCATGCTCAACCTAAGGCAGGCGTACAGTTTTCATTTAACTTTTACTGTGGCGATGGGGGATTAATTAACAAGGGGAGGGGTGTTTGTGACCAAAATCAATGACAAAATGTATCCCCACAACTCAGCTTAAAAAACACAGGGCAAGAACTGAAGAAGAAGGCATGTCCGTCTGTACATCTACAGCTCTGTTCATATGCCAGTGCTCAAATCTGGTGTCCAGATCTCTCTCTGTTCTAGGCACACACACCTCACATTCCTAGAATATCCCGGCTCATAAATCTACAGTATGTGCCATGCAATTTGCCTTTAGAACAATGTGGCATTTGCTTTGAAAGTATGCAAGTAACCTTTACTTACTGCCTTTATTTTCTGCGCTACTAACAAGAGGACTATGGCACGGTGTCTACAGTGTTTACAGTTACTGAGTACAGACTCAGCCTGAGGTAGCCTCAGATGAAGCACATGGAGATCATTTGCCTTTCTCTGCGACCTCGTCACCTCTCCACCCATGCAAGCTGCCTAATTACACAGGGAAGAGCTGCAGTGTAAGAAAGGGAGAGAGGGGGAGAGTGAGGATAGGGGGAGCACTTGGGAGGTGAGGAAGGGATGTTTAAGTAAACGTATAAAATGTTCAGGGTGTGTAATTTGACTGTTCTAACCCAGTCTTATTTCTGTGTGTGGCCTCTCCATCTCCTACAGAGCATTCTAATCTTCATTATGTACTTCACATTGAATGGTACACAGTGAGTGAGTGCTTTTATGGGAAAGACAGAGAGGATTAGGATTTCATTTCATTATTATTGCATACAGCATTTGACTGATATCTCCAAGAGCAGCAAAATGGATTGAAATTGGACAATGGTTGCAGCGATTTACTTCAGAGTTAAATGAATAAAAGACAAACTATTTGGTTTTGTGCCAAATCAAAAGCACATTTGTATTCTTTCTGCACTGATCAGCATTATTATAATGTTTGATGACTTCCTAATGCTTAGGCCTTATTTTAACTCTCGTTTCCTCTCGTTTTTTTTTCTTCTTTTCCTTGCAGGATATTAATCAGAAACTGCAGGAGGACAACCGTGAGCTGCGGGACTTGTGCTGCTTTCTGGACGACGACCGCCAAAAGGGCAAGCGTGTATCCAGGGAGTGGCAGCGCTTGGGACGTTACAGTGCCAGCATCATGCGCAAAGAGGTGACCCTCTACCTCCAGAAACTAAAGGAGCTGGAGCTTCGACAGGAGGAGGTAATCCGGGAGAACATGGAGCTGAAGGAGCTCTGCCTGCTGCTTGACGAGGAGAAAGGGGTGGTAGGTGGAGGAGGTGGCGGTGGAGTAAGTGGAGGGGGAGGGAGTGTAGGGATGGGAGGGTGCCGCAACTCCATTGATAGCCAGAATAGTTTGCTGCTGGTGCCTGGGCATGGGCTCCTGATGAGAGACGTGGGGGATGGGAGCAGCACCTCAAGCGCAGGAAGCGCTGACAGCTCCGATCACCCTCACCATAAGCAGCCTCACCTGGCTCCAGGGGGGGTTGGAGTCAGTAGTGGTGGGGAAAAGGGGAGCCCTGAGCTTGTGCACAAACCCAGGTGCAGCAGCATCAGTGGAATAGGAGGCGGAAGTGGAGGAGACAGGGAGGTGTCCAGCCCTGAGCACCCTGCTGGGCGCCACCGGAGTACAAGCCTGGAGTACCCATACACCCTGCCCCAGCTCTGCCGGCCCCGCTGCGGCTCCATATCCGTGCCTGACCACAGTCGAGTCATGCGGGGCCTCAGCCCGGAAAAATACGGGAGGAATGTGGGCCGACGCAGTCCGGAGCAGCACCCCAAGCACCACAGCTCTGATCTCCTCCTGGGCCAGAGGCAGCACTTCCTGGGCCAGGGAGGCAGCGGGGAGCTCTATCAGAGGCACCACAGGAGCAGCATTAGCAGTACTGGTTGTGGGAGCCCCGAGCCCCGGCTGGCACATTTAGGGAGCGCTGAGCACCATGAAAAGGGCTGTGTGGTCCAGGGGGGCAGCCCTGAAACTCATAGGCACCAGTACAGTATGAGCCCTGACCATGTGAAGTTTGGCAGCCCTGTGAGAGAGGGGCAGAGGAGGCCAGCTGGAGACGAGCTGTCACCACATCATCGGAGCATCTACAATGGCATGAATGGTAGGTGTGTATGTGTGTGTGTGTATGCATGCCAGTGTTTCTGTGTGAACTGGGTACACTGCTTTTCTTTCAACCCAACCTTACCCTAACTATACCAAGGTTCTTCACCCTAAAATGTTGTGATTGTGGACATTGTGTCCTCAAAAGGAAAGCTTGTTTCTATAATGTCACAC